TAATTTCTTATTAATATTAAAGTGAAGATGACTTCAAATGATTCACTCTTGATGGATTAGAAGCTGTTTAAAAATATATTTCAAAGTTTCCTTTATAATAATGTCAAGCTGTCACATGTGCATTCTGAGATCCTTTCTTGATTGGGAGAGGAGGGGTATGCCATGTATGCACGTGGCCTGGGTACACTTGTGTCCCGTACAGGGGCTTCTAACAGCTGAGGCTGCGGTGGGGACCACGGGCCAGAAGTGTTGCTCGGGACAGTGCCACACACTATTTCCTTTCCAGATGAATCCTTGTGGTCTAGCCGGTCTCAAGCACCCACCCTGATCTCTCCTGCTGAACTCAATTTCTCTCCATCATTGGCTGAGTGAGTATGCCACACCCTCTCTAATGGGCAAAGACACATACATACTGGCTTCATTTGGGGACAGGAGGCGAGGGCAATGCACTGCTTGTAGTGTTTTCTGTCTTCCATTCTTGGCAGACACATGGCACAGCGGGAAGGCCAAGGGCTTGGTCTCACAGAGAAGAGGCCTTACATTCATCTCCCCAGACAACAGACTGAGAACCCTGGGCCTGGTCCTTAGGCCTTATGTTCTTACCTCCCAAGTGGACATATGGTGGCTTCCTTGCGCAGAGATTCTGTAAGGCTAAGACAAGCTCTATGAGAGTCTTATACATATGACTTTTGTACTCCTTGCTGAGCCACTCACACTCGAGTCCAGGCAGGAAGGATAAAGATTATGAACGCCACTTAATGTTGACGACATTAAGGCCCAGGGGTGATAATGGCCATCTGCAGTGGAGCTGGGTTCAGACCTCGACTTGGCCTCGGGCTTGTCCGGTGATCTGAGGGGCACTCCTGCTCCACTCTCCTCCTGAGCACAGCTCTGGGCTCAGAGGTGGCTGGAGAAAGGACCAGGGCAGAATGATCTCTGGATAGGGCACTGGCTTTGTTGGTGGGGTTTTGCTGTTTTGCTTTTAAAACCATGAGGCATTTCTGGTGCAGAAGCCACTTAGGAAACTCAGAGCGGACATGCTCTTGAGTGATTGCTGAGGTCAGGAATAAGCACCTTTCCTCTCACTGGCCCACTTCTCAGGTGCTAAGATACACCCTCCTGGGAACACAATTGTCCTTGCAGGGACCTTAGATTGTTTGGTTTCAGAGTTTTCTGTCACTTGGATCTGACCTTCCAGCTCAGACTATGTCCTTGAACCTGATCTGCCATCCTGAAGCCACCATGGTTGCAAGTGTAAAGCTCTTGACCATTTTGTGAATCTGAGGATAAAGAGGCTCCTAATGGCTTTGACACAGAATCCACAGTGGGTCCCAAAGGCCCATGTCCCAAAGTTTAGCACCTTACTGAGAGGGTCCTGTGGCTTATGTGGCTGCTCCCATAGCCCTAAAGTTCGAAACCCCATGAGGGAGATGTCACCACTATGGTGGGGGTCCATCTGCCTTTGCCTTTGTCCAGAATGAACTCCTAGCCCCACCTTAGGCATGGCAAGAAATCAGAGGCAAGGTTAAGAGCACAGACCTGAATGTCAGAGTGGCCTTCCTAAGTTTTGACTTTGCAGTGCTTTCTTGAGCACGATAATCTCACGAATGGGGACAAGGCTTGGGTCAGCCCCATGCGATAAGGCACGTGGACTCCATGAGAGGCGGGCCTTGTCTGCCTTGTTCATGGCTCTATCTCTCAAGTGTATAACAGCAGTACTTGCTCTTTAAGGGGCTGAATTAACATAGAGTAACATGCCTGAACACCATGAACATCAGTCACCATCACTCTGCCATTGCTGTTACCAGTGACGGCAGTGCCCCTTCACCGCCTGCTGATGGGAGAGCAGAGATGGCCCCAGCTTGCAGCTGCTAAGAACTGTTCACATGATCACAGCCAGTGGGGAGAGCAGAGAGAGCTCCTGGCATGAGAACCAGGGACACACATGCCCACTGGGGCGTCTGGGTGGAGTAGAGTCAGCTGTGGGGGTATGTGGAGGCCGCCCTATACTCCTTAAGTTCACTTACTCGTTTTCTCTTATATATGAAAGAAAGGAAGAGCCACCAGAGTTGGAGGGTTTCCTTTTCGGTTTCTTGACTGCCTGACCACCAGCCATTGCTGGGAGCACCAGGCTGCTGTCAGGTGTTGCTGACAGCCTAGGGATCAAGTCAACAGGGCCTCGTGCAGCAGGATGTGGGCAAGGGCACAATGGCTATTGAGCCCACAAGGCCCTCTTCTATAGCCCTGAGGCTCCATGTGGCTACAGAATTTATTACAACATCGCCAGTTGCCAGTGCCTGCTGACCTCCGTGTGCCTGACATCTTTAGAGGCCTGTCATAGGGAGGAGTAGCATGTGAGCTAGAAGGGCATGGGCTTCTAGACAGTCCTTAAACGCACAGAAACTACATAAGGTTGTCCTCTCACACCACTGTCTCAAAGAACCAGACAACGGGGGTGCTGGGGATGCTTCTCCAAATGACCACCGAGTCCCAAGACAGTTACGCTCAGTGATCCTGAAGAAGGCCCTCCAGCTTTCCCTGAGGTGCCATAGCCTCAGCCCACCTTGACCCTCATGAGTGAGGAGGCTCTGCAGAGGCCTTCTGTCCAAAGTCACATCCAGGACGTCTGATTCAGCATGGTGTCAAACACGCTCTGGAAACCCGGGCTCTAGGCCTGCTCTTCAATGCTTCACTGTTATTGTGTCCTGGGGTAAGCCATTTTATCCCTTTGGACTTCGCTGTCCTTACATATGGACTGGGGGACACTGTTCCAGTTCTAAATGTTTGCGCTTCCCTCTTTTTCTCCCTGAATGACAATCGGAGAAGTTATCCTTTGTCGGTGGCTTGCCAGGTGCTGCTTCTACACCACATGTCATGCATGTGATGTTTCATCAATCCAACAAGCCTCCAGAGCAGGCACTGTTATTCCCATTTGACAGAGGAGGAAGCTGAGCCTGCAGTGGCCACAGCCATCTGTAGAGGTTGGTTGCCATCCTCTACTTCACACAGGAATTGCTTCTTGAACCGCAAAGTTACTGTTCATCTTATGGATTAATTTACCTTCCTTTCTGCTTTTTTTTTTTTCTCGCTGTGTATTCTCTTCTGGGACTCACATAAAAAAGTCAAGATCTGGATGTCCCCTTGGCTCTCTGGGGGTGGGCAGGCCCACTTGTGGCATGTGTGCTGGTTAGTTGGGGTGAATCCCGGGAAGGGGGTCTGTGTGAGCTCTCACAACTCAAGCCCGCACAGAAACAGAACATGGCCTGGGTAGCATGACTGCAGCACAAACCCTACAGTCAACCCACTTGTGTCTAGAAGATGTTCCTCATGTGAGACAGAAGGCGTCACCTTCCACTTCTTCCTGGCCAAGTACTGCGGCTACTTTAGGCCTCTCTTCATTCATTTGTAACTAGATAACTGGCTGCTATATCTCGTAGGTGTTGGGAGACTGTCCAAGGCCTCTCTGAACCCTACCCTAGGGCTTGGCACAAGTATTGTACAGTCATGCATCGTATACCGACGTTTCTAGGACCCCTGTCATGAATGCAGTCATGACAGATAGCATACATGATGGGGGTCCTAAAGATTATTATACTGTACTTTTAGTGCACCTTTTCTGTATTTAGAGGCACAAGTACTTACCATTGTGTTACAACTGCCTATAGTATTCAGTACAGTCACAGGCTGTACAGGTTTTAGCCCGGGAGCATGAGGTTACACCATATAGCCAAGGTGTGTAGCAGGTCGAACCATCTGAGTTTGTGTAGGTACACTCTATGATGTTCACACAACAACAAAATCACCAGTCAACTCATTTGACAGAATGTATCCATGTCCTTAAGTGATGCATGATTGTATGGCAAACAATTGTTCAGGGTGTGGTCATGGGTGGCATCATGGTTTCTGCATTGCACTCACCCAGTTTGCTTCTTAGAGAATATTAATACATGCTTAACTGGTCATGGGGAGGAGGAGATGTTTAGAAATGCAGCTCAAGCCTGGGTCAGAAGTAGCCTGTTGGCAAACGCTGCCAAAAAAGACATTACTGGTCATACCATGCATCCCACTCGACCCCTCCACTTAGGAACTGCACCAGTGGGCCCAGAACCCTGGACAGTGGTTTGGTTCCAGGACTGGGTGTGGGATTTGGGGTATGACTTCCTTAATTCCCTTGAAACTCCAAGGGAGTAGTGCAAATTAATCATATGGTGAGATGACATTAAAGTCATTCCTTCCCTTAGGAAAGCAGCTGCCCAACCCCCCGCTGCTAGCTGATAATGGCCACACCTCATCAAATATTTATCCCAGCACTCACAGTCCTCCATCAGCCTCCAGCACCACGCCAGGGATGAAATCTGATTATTAAAGCTGGTCATGAATGAAGTAGGCAGACTACAAAGTGCCAGGATGGAAAGTGGGGAACATCAAAGCCCCGTATTCTTCCTTAAAGGTCGCCTCTGGAAGTGAAGGTCTCCTGCTGGGGAGGGATTATGAGGACCTGGCCCTTCTGTGTGCCTCTAAGACTATGGGGCAGCCCTCTCCCCTGTTTTCCTCTCCAGTGGGGCAGAAGGTGGCTAAGCCCAGGGCCTGGGGCCAGAGGCATGACTCCAAGCCACAAACAGATATCCCACCCCAGCCCAAAGATGCAACTCCCTTCACTTTCAAGGGGAGCCCTGGCATTTCATTAGTGCCCTCTTTGAAACCTGCCCTTTGCAAAACAGAAAAAGAAGACAAGGGGAGAAGGAATGGAAGTTGTTCGAAAAGCTTCCTCTATTTTATCTGGAGCTTCTGATGCCCTTGGTGTGGCTTCATTCATTCAATGGTGGAAGAGCCTGTCAGGCAAGAAATCATGTCTGGTGCTTAATGGAACCCAGGGACCAATTAACCACACTGAGCACCAATGCCAGCAGGCAACATATCTCCAAAAGGAGTCAGAGAGAACTCACACCATTGCTCCTTTCCCTCCCTTTCTCCAAATAAAAGACAAATGCTATGTCAACAGCTTTTCAAGGGTGATCCTTTATTTTCTGAGAGCCCCAAAACTGACCCATTTATCAAAAAATGCCTGGCGCCTCAGTTCACAAACCATATCTTTTTCTCTTTCAGCAAATCCTGGTGCCTTGGGAGGGCTGCAGCCCAGGGAAGTGGCGATGTCAGAACCTGCCTTCTACACCCAGCTGCTGCACTGCGGCCTCCTGCACAGCCTGGTGGACATGTCTGACCTCTCTCTGGGACAGAGTCCGTTCCATGTGACGGTACATGATGCGGTAACAGTGGCTGGTCTTGCATGTCCTGGAGAGTGGAAGAGAACACAGGTGAGTGAGGGACAAATGGATGAGCCTGCCCCTGCAGGAACCATGTGGCGGCCCGACCAGCCTCCCAACCACAGTGGAGAACCAAGGACGGGCCTTTCAGAACCACCACTTACAGTAACGACCTGCATCTGCTATGTGCTCTGGGGGAGGGTGGTAAAGGGGAAACATTCGTGAGAATGATGAAGACTGCTGGTTTCTCCTGGACTGGATGTACCCAAGTCCCAGGAAAGGAAGCTGACAAATTTGATTTCCTAGGCCACGCCCTGGGGATTCTGACTTAGCAGGCGGGAGGGGGCGTGTGGGCTTCTGAGCCTGTCCTAGGCTCCCCGGGTGATTCTAACCAGCAGACAGGGCTAGGAGGCAACCCAAGCGTGCCTCCACGTTTTCTCTGTCACAGAGGACAGCCATGTATGTCACAGTATCAGCAAGGTCTGAGGAAAGGCTGAGGGGGTCACTCCTTCAGCACCCTTCGGCCTGAAGGAATAATACATGCCATGTATATGCTGTGTAGACCATGCTGTGAGTCCCCTGCTTGGCCATGGTGGTGCTGACTTGTCCTTCACAGAATAGCTGGGCAATTTGGCGTGTATGGAAACGACAACAGCAGGACTTTCTAGTCACACAGCCGTGGTTAAGACACACTGCTCAGCGATCTGAACAGAAAGACCCCTGGGCCACAGACTGGCCGACCCTCTCCCCTCCCTGAACGGCCCATTACTGGCTGTGTGGCAAGGGGTCTGGCACTATCCCTTCTCTGGACACTCATGTTTCTCCTCTGCAGGATGAGGGGATCTGTTCAATTTTAGAGCCACACAAATTCCTCTTTTCTAGCCCCTAGTAGCAGCAGCAGCAGAGTCAACCCATATCCTTAGGAGAGGAAACTGAAAGGCACTGAGAGATTCCCAAGCTGATGTCCTGTGGCATGACGCCAACCTGCTCTTAGCCTAGCCAGAGAAAGGCCACGTGCTTGCTGGCAGGTGAGGCGGGCTGGGCTTTCCATCACACCAGGGCCTTGAACACCTGTGCCAACCCCTCACACCCACTGGAAGACCTGATGGTCTCCACTTTTGCCACCTGAGTCCAGAGCCCTTGCTTCCAGGGTCCCCCGAGACTTCACTGGGGTTCTTTCTTCTTTCCTTTCCTGTCCCTGTTTTTCTGTTTTTTTGAATTGGAGTCTCTCACTTCATCGCCCAGGCTGGAGTGCAGTGGCATGCTCACCATCACCCCAGCATCGACCTGCTGGGCTCAGGCTATCCTTCCGCCCCAGCCTTACAAGTAGCCGGAACTATAGGCATGTGCTAATTTTCTGATTCATTGTAAAGATGAGGTCTCGCCAAGTTGCCCAAGCTTTTCTTGAACCTGTGGGCCAGGCAATCCTCTCACTTCGGCCTCCCAGAGTGCTGGGATGACGGGCTTGACAGTCCCTGTTTTAACACCATAGTCTTTGGCTGGGTAGAATACACCTGGTGAGCTGAGAGGCTGCCTCAGTCCTGGCCTCCCTAATCTGCCCCTTCACCTCCCCTGCCAGTGTTTCCTACCTTCTACCCCACCCTGACTTGGTCGTTTGTCTTGCTTTCATCCTCCTCCCACTTGGAGCCCATTTCAGGAAGAACAAATCCTAAGGCATGGGTGTGGTGCATTCCAGTCAAGTACACAGTCCTGTTTGGATCAAGCCACAGGAAGAAGCCACCACTGAGGAATCACGACAACCAAGCAGGCTGGGGGAGGACGCTTTCCTTAGAGGGCTCCCCGGGAATCCTTATAGCACACCCAGGTTGGCTCCATTTCCTCTCTCCACAGCAGCAGCCTGTTCAAGATGAAGGGAGAAAAACCTCCTCTCCACCCACTTCATTCTCTTTCAGTTCAGCTCAAGCCAAGGGCTTTGCTCCATGGACATTCCCCTGGGGATGGGGCCTTAGTCCTGGGGGAGGTACTGGTGCCCAAACTTCCCTGACAGCCTCCCCCAAAATGGGGTGGCCCTTTCTTCTTACTCAGCTTCCGACATGAACATACCAGACACCACACCCACCCAAGCCCTCCAGGCACCAAAATGCCAGTGAGACAGAAGAACCCAACTCTGAAAAGGAAACAGAGGTTCTCCAAGAGTGGGAGCCAATGAAACCACACACCCAAGATCCCGCAGCTGCCAAGTGTTCTGTTCAAATGACAACTGCTTCACTTATAGTTAAAACTGATTTTTGACAAGGGCACCAAGGCCATCCGAGGAGGAGATGTCTTTTTTTTTCATATGTGGTGCTGAGACAGCAGGATATCCACATGCAAAATAATAAAGATGAACCCCTACCTCACACCACACCACATGCAGAAATTAATTCAAAATAGATCAAACATCTAAATATAAGAGTTAAAACTGTATCATTCTTAGACAAAAATAGAGAAGAAAGTCTTCAGGACCCTGGGTTAGACAAAGCCTCCTTAGCTGTGACACCAAAAGCACAAGTGACCAAAAAAAAAAGAAAAAAAGAAAAAAAAATCAATACATTTGAACTTCATCAAAACTATACATTTTTGTAATTCAAGGGATGTCATCAAGAAAGTAAAATGACAATCCATGAAAGAAAAAATTTGCAAGGTATATACCTGTGAGGAACTTGTATCTAGAATATACAAAGAACTCTTACAACTCATCAATAAAATGGCCAATAACTCAGTAAAAAAAATGTGCAAAAGATCTGAATAGACACCTTTCCAAAGAAGATATACGAAAGGCCAATAAGCACAGAAAAGATGTTCAACCTCAGTCATCAGGGCAATGCAATCAAAACCACCAAGAGATACCCGTTCATACCCACTAAGGTGACCACTAAAAAAGAATAAAAAGAAAGAAAAAGAAAAAGAAAAAGAACAATTGCTGGAGAGTATGTGAAGAAATAATCAGGACCTGTTTGAGACGTGACAAGGCTCTGGCAAATTACAAAGTGCTATTTGGGTATGAGGTAAAAGTGTCCTTGTGGCAACTGTTATTAATGACTTTTTTTGCTAGGTTCCTCAGGCTTCTCTTAGCAAAAGAGTTGGAGATATGGCAACTCACTCAATGAGTCACTGCTAATCAAAGATGAATGAGGAAAATTATGTCTTCCCGTTTCTATGTGCTTCAAAAAAGGCCCCTGTAAAGATTCCTGGGGTTCAAATAGCTTACACAGAGCATTTTGATAAGTTTGGTATAAATGAATCAAATATAAGGATTAACTTTATAAGTAGAGAGAAGTAGTATTTGGCAGAATGTCTGGTGATTTGTTCAACTCTGTACAGTCAACTGAATATTAGCCAGGTTTGCCCCTTCCTAACATCAATGGAGAGAGAGGAGGCTTCCTTTTATTTGTTTTCTAGAAACTTTGTTGGGAGCTCTCAGATGGCAGGACAGACACCTGTTCTTCTTTAGCATGCTGGAGAACTAAAAGAAGAGTTGGCAGCTGGTCAAGAGCGGAAGACCCAGGTCTCCTTCTTCTTGTCAAGTGGCCTGTACATCAAACCTGCGGGAACAGGGAGCTAAAGGATCTTGCAGTGTATCGGTGAATAGGTAAGAACATGGATTTTTCAGAGGGAGGAATGCCCTCAGTGACCAGTCCCAAGTGTCTGGATTAGAGCTCTTCTGGTTCTTTTATGTCACTCAGTACAGTCTCCTATAGCCTAAAAGTTTTCTAATCTCTCACCGGCTATGACCCCCACTGTCCCTCAATAACGGCAGCAAACATTTATGTGGCACTTTTATCAGGTACTGTTCTAAGCCCTTTATATACATTGACTTATTTAAGCATTACAACCTCATTGGGCAAATAGCATTATTATCCCATTATAAAGACAAGGAAATGGAGGCATAGAGAACATAAGTAACTTGCCCACACTAATAAGTGGCAGGGCTGGATTCAAAAGGAGGCAATCTGATGACAATGTAAATAAAATAATACAAGCCACTGGGGAAAAGAGTTTGGTGATCTCTCAAAAAGTTAAACCTAGAATTACCATATGATGCGTCATTTCTACTCCTTGGCATATACCCTAAATCACTGACAGCAGTGTTCAAACAAAACAGTTCATAATCGCCAAAGGGTAGAAATGTCTATCAATAGATGAACAGATAAACAGAATGTGATCTATCCATACAGTGGAATATTACTCAGCCTTAAAAAAGGGATGAAGTACTGACACATGGATGGGTACTAGATACAATTGGATGTACCTCAGAAACGTAAGTGAAGAAGGCCAGACACAACAGACCACATATGATTCATTTATACAAAATATCCAGAAAAGAGAAAACTGTAGAGATGGAAAACAGACTGGTGGTTGCCAGGGCTGGTAGGAGAGGGGAACAGGGAATGACTGCTTAGTGTGTATGGGGCTTTCCTTCGGGGTCATGGATGTTTTGAAACTAGATAGAGGTGATCGTTGCACAACACTGTTCATGTATTAAATGCCACTGAATTGCACACTTCAGACATGGTCAATTTTATGTTAGGTAAATTTCACCTCAATTAAAAAAAACAGTTCACGACCCGCCTGGGCAACTTGGCGAGACCTCATCTCTACCATAAATCAAAATGATTTCCAAGTAGCCTTCCAAGTAGCTGGAACTACAGGCGCGCGCTAGTAGCGCACGCCTGTAGTTCCAGCTACTTGGAAGGCTGAGGCGGAAGGATTGCTGGAGCCCAGCAGGTCGAGGCTGGAGCGGCCAGGAGCGGCCACTGCACTCAAGTCTGGGTGACAGAGTGAGACTCCAACTCAGAAAAAAAAAGAAAAGAAAAAACCAAAATCTGGTTTCAGAGCCCAGCTATGAACTCTCACACTGGACTGCTACAGCAAACACCTCCACTCTTCCCTTTCATGTAGCCCACTTCCTTTTACCTATTTTCCTTAAAGAAATGACAAAGTTGGCAAACTATTGAGGAGGGTCACTCTTAATGGTTCTGTTCAAGAGCAAGAAGGAATGAGCCCATGTTACTTTCAGGCCCTGCT